TGATAAGTTTGTTTTCAATAATTCAGTAAGGAGTTTAAGCGGGGGAGGGGGGGGGATGGGAAGGGGGGTTATGTATGAGTTAAACAACAATATTGATTTGCTCAAAGCTTGAGAAGTCCATAACACCTTATGTACCAGTTTTTCCAGATATTTCAACCTGAACTTAAAATCGCAACAACGATGTCAATCTCAGTTGTTCGTCAAAGCATAAACAAACAATAATGGTTTCACCTAGTTTGAAAATGTAAATATCAAAAGGAGTAATTTCTAGATCTGCGCCTCCTGATGGTGTCGTGAACATTACACACGAGATGGAACTCGTCCATATCATCAACGTAGACGAACTAAAGCAAATCATACGGGTATTGGTGTACGTTGTTGAGGTGACTACAATAAAGCTTATCTTGCATGAAAGCTTACTACTTCCTTTTTGAGCAATGGGATGATCCAACACTGAGTTGGGATCCAACCAACTTCTCTGGTCTTCGTTACACATGGCTACCAGAAGAGTCGATATGGATTCCAGATATAATTGTATTCAACATGTTGGTGTTTGTGCGATTCTTCTTTCAGCGAAAGGTTTAATAAATAAGAGAAAGTACGAATTACACATGTCCACTATAAGGTTGGATCATCAAGAGCTTCTGCATTCGGTACGATCTCCAATCCGAATCGAATATAACGGGCGAGTTACATTCTCCTATCCTGCTATCTATTCGGTGATGTGTAGAATAAGTAAGTTACGAATGTATTTGCCCTTTCATCTCACTTCGTATATCAAAATGGCTCTTTTAGACGTTGCCAGATTCCCGTTTGATACCCAGAGATGTAATCTTCGAGTGAGTGTTGCATGGGTGTTTTTATCAGTTGTATTCTTCGAACCGCCTATGCAGAGTCTGCCACTCAAGTCAACCATCTTTAAACTCATCATGCATGTTCACTGCTCCAAGCTCCCTTAATTCACCTGATTTTGTCCTGCCGCATTTTCGATCCTTCTAGTAGTCTCCCTCCGGGATCCTCCACCGGCAAAGTGCACTTCCTGCTTGCGGCAGCAAGCAGTCTTCCTTCCACTTTAAGATTAGAGCAACTTTCATCTTACTGAGGGCTGTGTCATTGCTGTCGATCTAGCATTGTGATAAAGGTACACCTAGCATTCTTCTCTATAACACTGAGCTTGCGTTCCTCCTTCCACGTTATGACCAGCGTTCACAACGACATAACGTTGTTGGACGGTTACTGCACTGTACATTCAACACTTGAGTTATAGAGGCATCCGTCTTTCACAAAAAACTCCTTAAAAGCTCCTCCATTGCACTCGTGTTACACTTATTCATGCTGAGAACTCATCCTCGAGTCCTCCTTCAGCAAATAACCTTAAGGATACTTGAAAAAATGTCGTTTTCTTGATTAACGTACCATCGATGTATATGGTTTAGGATGTTTGATTTCACTCTTCCATACATATTTGGCATTCTTGGTGATGAGCTTCAATCCTTACCCTAAATGGTTTTTCCATTCCTGTATTACCTTCTTTTCTGCTTCGGCTATCAAGACTACATCATTAGCACGGAGTAGAGCCCATGGAGATTGTCACTAAGACTTCTGTTACTGCATGCAGGACTAAACGAAGAGTAAAGGAGAGAGCACCGATTACTAATATACTCTTCCCTTGATTCGGGACTTCTTTGGTCGACCTGCTGTTGCTCCCATTTAGCTCGTAGCTTCTTTAAGTCATACTGAATCTATTCTTCTAAAGCCGTTTTATTACGTTGGCAGTACCGACACCCTTGTGTAACAACTTTATGATAGTTCAAAGTCGTCAAGTGATTTTTCAACCACCTTTAGAGTGCCTATCCTTTATCGTTGTCCAGACTTCGTCATTCCACAACCAGGTTTCTTCATCAACTCTTCTTACTGGCTTCACATCCCAATAGAATTCTTCCTATATGGTGACAAGATGCTTTAGACCTTACTGTGAAGCTTCTACGTAAGGGTAGTACAGTGATAAAAAATGCTTCTTTAGAGAATTGCCTTTTCATTTTTATTGTTTAATTGGTTCATTGTTGTTAGTCAATTATTTTCCTTGTTTGTCGGCTGTAAATTTCAGATCTAAAAGAAGAGGCGCACGACCACCTTTGCATTTTTAAGGTTACTGTGACGCACAGCTCTGTAGCCTATTTGTGCTCGGCGTTCTCCATTTAAGTACTTAATCAAATGCTTATGCTTCTTTATATATTACTTGTTCGTTAATGCTAATTTGTAAGCTGCACCTAGCTCAAGAATTCGTTCATCTTCGTCATTGCGTGCTCCGCATCCGCGGTTCTTGCAGCATCCCTGCAGTACCTTGTTTCTTCTCGACATACCATCAGAATTCGCTGCACGGAAGCATCCTGTGACACAGATGTGATGTAATTGTCAACTCTTGCCAGAACACATTTTTCTTTTAATTTCGCTCTCACTGTAAAGCATACAGACGCGATTCAAAGAATTTCCTTCCACGAATAAACCCCATACTTAAAAGCGATTACTTAGTTAGTCGAATCCAACAGTCTTGCTTCTAACTTTTTTAGGATAGCTAAACCTACCTATAGCATTTACTGTTCATGTTTCGTCTGCGATTTCGCGCTTTCTTATTTCATTTGTTGTATGCAAACAATACCTTTCTGTTGTCTTCTCAGTAGTGTTCTACCTGGTTTTTGATAGTTGCTTTAGTGCTACTTTTTTACCCGTCTTCGCTCATAAGATGGTAGCTCTCCATTACACGTCGGGCTTGAGTGTAATTCGCTTACTGGGACCACTCTAGTCTAGAACATTTAGAACGGAATACAACGGGGGGTTTCCCGTTTCCCCACACGCTCTGAGTCAGCCTTACGCGGAAATCGCAAGGCAAATTATATCCATTATATTATCCAAAGGAGGAATCAAAGCTGCAACCTAATGAAATGAAGTCTACGAAGAGCTTACACCACTCTGCAGACACTGCCTCTAAAATCTTTGCAAACTCATTATTTAGATAGCTTCCTGGGGTTATGGAGAGGAAAAGATCATGCTAAATGCTAGCAGCAAGCCGTTCTTGCAACATTATACCGCAAATGAAGAATGGGCCTTACAGGTATGTATGCAGTTCCTTAAAAAATTAACTCAACAAACAAGGAATGAACCGAATGAGGCAAGTTTGAAGTGGTTTTGCTTCATTCTGTTTATTACTTGTTTTTAATCGAAATTTTAATGACAACCCTCAATAAAACTCTATCTGGATTTGTGAAGAACCTTTTGTTATACTGTCTTCTTTGACTTTCGTAACACTTAGGAAGTCGGCATTACTCAAGACCACTATGATCATGAGGGAACAGTTGTGAGCGAAGCAAAGTACATCGTGTCCATCTCAAGAAAGCCATTTTATTATCTCATCAGTCTTGTACTGCCAAGTTACATTATTTGTATGCTATCCGTAGCAGGTCTATTCGCAAGATTTTCTACAAAACACGAACGACAGGTGAATGTCGTATGTGACACAAAACGCGTAGACTAATTTTGAAGAAGAAACTTATTGCAGGAAAGATTCACATTAGGCGTTACGGCAATCCTTAGTATGGCTGTACTTTCACTTGTGGTCACAGAAAAAGTCCCACACAGCTCGGAGGAGGTCCCGTTGCTCAGTAAGTTCTAAAGAAATGTCTCCAACAGGCCAAAATCCACAAACGATGTTCAGTTGTCTACTTCCACTTCAACATTGTTATGGTTACTCTCGCAACCACTTTGACTTCCACAGTAATGAGAGTACATTCTAAGGTAGATATACAATGCGCTCTATAATTATCACATATGATACTGCTATTATATATAATATTATAATCAAGGGTTTCTCTAACCGGCTGTTGCCACCCCCTTCTTGGCTACTACGATACTTATTTATTCGAGGAACTCAATTCACCTCTATTCCCAATGGGGTATGGTAGTCAGTGACAAGAATGAAATTATAAAGGAAGAATTTGTTTCAGAATTCGCCCAGTGCAAAAAGAGTGATGATAGCGGAGAAATGGGGTGCGGTAGGTGCTATTCTTAGCTTTAACATGGAAACTCTTTAGTTGCTTTGCAGACAGAAACTAGCAATAGAACAGTGTCTGACATGGAGATCATAAGACTTCAAGCTTTTTTGTTTTTTTTCTATCTAATTAAAGTTCAAATTTTTTGCGTTGTTCTACTGCTTAATTTTATAACAAGTAGCCATGTGTTACGCGTGTCCAAGAAACAGTAAAAATTACTACAATTTTTAGGTTTCTCGAAGAATGGACCACTTGCTTTCACTTTTTTTCCTTGCGACGGTCTCCACACCCACAATGTATTTATTCCTACTTTGCTTCTCGATGGATAACATCACCCAAGAGCGAGAATTATTAAACGGGTCTCGTGAAGCCGTATGACTATCGAGATCGCTAGAGCCTTCTTCAAAGCAAACGGCTCTATACCTCAACCCTAGCTCTAAGGTATGATAAGAAAAGATCATTCACGTATCTGAAATTGAATTAATCTCATTGTGTTGTTGCTTGTGGAGTATTTATTGACTGTACCAACAATAAAAACATTCTAAACTGTTCATGGCAAAGAAGTGCAATTTAGTCACATCTATAAACAGAAATGTTTTTATTAAATGAATTACCTAAGGATCAAAGCTTGTTGAGGTTTCTTCGGCGTGGGGGGCATGAATAATTGCGAGAAGTATTGCTAACATTTTGCAAGAACTCAAAATTCATTGCAAAATTTGTAAGCTTTTATACGGACCCCAAAATAAATGCATTCGTTTTTAAGCGATTGATTGACAACACTGTTCAAGACTGATTTTAAAACCAAACTAAAATTATGGCTGAAAGCAAAAGATAATCCGAGGGATAGAGAAAAATTTGAAATATCGCCGCAATCAATGAATTTAATTTATACCAGAACATTATAGCCTATTATGGGACATTAGCAATGGATTCGCTAACAAAAAACATTGAATAGAACATTTTCTCGAAGATTTTGGGTGTAATATGCTCCAATCTTAAACCTAGACTTAGCTCTCCTATTTTTTGAGATTTTGAAAATGTTTCGCCATTCTCAAATCAACAGCAAGTAACTGTGTTACTATGCAAACAATTGGACGTTCCTACTAACTTTTTTCTCATATCTAACCAAACCTTATGTTACCTTGCATACGATCCCATAGACATTTATCGGAAATGAATTTAGCAGAGAATTCACCTTTACGATTACCTTTAATTTCTGTGCTATCAAAGAATCTTTTACTTTGAGACCCACAACAACATCAGACCAATGGTTTTTCTTCTCCAACTCAAAAAATTCAAAAAAAAAAACACAACTGGACAGAACAGAGCTGCAAATACATATGAGCATATTCACTTTGAAGGAGGACCATTGTCGCAAACATTGTTTTTCTGCGAAAAGCAAGATCTTTTCACGATCCGCATGTACACCAATGTAGTCCTTTGGAGGATAAAAAAAGTAAACACTAGCTACTGCAGAAATGCCCGATTTTGACTTTTTTCACATTTGCCAGGAGGGGTTAGGCCTTGACGACCGAAAAATTGCAAATGGACTCCATCGTTTTTTTCATGGAAAAGATGCAATGCACTATAGAATAGTTTTACATTAGTTTACTAAATCCAGTTACCCACACACCGATAGACCATCCGAGTCTGAAGAGACGTATAAAAAGACTTAGCAGCTTCCATAATCTCCAGACCTTGTTCCAAAAAACTAACAATCAACATACCCAATCAA